TATTTCTTTCACCTTATTCAGTATTAAGTCTGTCCAAATACATCAGAATGTTGTTGGATTTGTAGAATAATTTTGGCAATCAAACCAAATATTTACCCTTCAACAAACCTGGTGCAGTGTCACACTGTCGTTTGATTTTTGCAGGGCTGCCTGTTTCAGGCTGTGGATTTTTCTTTATAATATTCTGTTCTGAGATGATATGAGAAAAAAAGTTATTCATTTGAGTAATCCAATATTTATGATGGATATAACATATTATTCATAAAGTTTATGTACCCTACCATTTCCATGTGCTCTACTTGAAGATGGAAAATCCTAAAAATAAACACTTGACTTATGTACAAAACTACACCAGACACAGATAGTTACAACTCTCTGTATGAACTAGGCCTAAACTTCTAAGGTTTACAGAAACACCTACTATGATGGCTTCCATAGAGGCGTCTGAGCCAGAGCTCACCTCTGTTGACTCCTCTTGATGTGAAGGAGCTTCCCCCCTGAGCTTCTTCTGTCCTCTCTGTGACGTGTCAGTGCGACTCTGTGAGGACACTCATTTCTTTAGTGGATCTCAGCCTTTTTCATTTATAACCCTACAGTAACAACTACTGGGATTTGCAGCTCTCAAAACAACTCTCAAACATAAAAAGTTCTACCTGCAAAATGATAAAGGAGCCTTAACTATTGTGGCAAGACCGGCTTTGGGGGTCTAGGCTGCGGGTGCTCTTACCTGGCGTTCCGTGGCGCTGCGCTGGTGGACTATTTAAGCGCTCCCTTCTCAGTCGTTCCCCTTTTGGCTCACACGCTCCTCCGGGCCTCTCCTTGTGGCCGCTCTGTCCTCCAGCTCAGTGTCGCTGCTTGGCCGCTGCTTGGCTGGTGCTCTGCACCACATCTGTCCCTCGCTCCTCTGAATCACGGAACACCCAGGGTGCGCTTTCATCTCCCCTGATAAGCTCCACGGGTGAGCCGAGTGAGTCCCTCCCCATTGCGCTTGGCGGTGCGCCGCCGTGTCCCTTAAACCGTGGCGGCAGTGTGTGCCAGTCCACATTGTTTGGACCACGTCTGGACGCAGTTATTCTGTGTAGTTGCCTTCGATTCAGCCTGGGGATTGTGCACTGTCACTTTCAACCACGGTGTCAGCGGAGGCCTGCAGCGGCGTGAGCACACCGCCTCTGCTGTTTTGCTTTGTTCTGTTTTGCTGTGTTTTGTTTTGCTTTGCTTCACATTTGCTCTGTTTTGTTTTACCTCTGCTTCACATTTGCTTTGTTTTGTGTTATCTTTGCTTTAGTGTTGCTTCATTGTTTTGGGGTTTTGTTTTGCCTTTTCAATACTGTGTACTCGTTCTCCCACTGTAGTGTTTTACTGTTTGCTGATTTTTATGGATGTAGCTACTTTTAAACCACTTAAATCTGTCTTTTAAAATGGAAAGAAATAAAGATTTGTGTAAATGATGGAACCTGTCTCTCTCCCTTAATGATATGCTTACTTGTGTGCCTTACATTTAGATTTCATTCCCCAAACTAGATTTGGGGTGGCGTTGTTGCAGCAACTCATCATAAAACTTAACATTTCCCAGAGTGTTGAACCCCTCGGTTGCCACACTATTTTTAATATTATTTTTACCAATTTACATTGACCGCTCCTGAAAAACTATCAGTGGTGGGGGAACTCTAATCCCCAAAGAATCTTACCTGTAGGTACTCTGTAAGTCGTCTTTTAAATTTCATCCTTTGTCCTGTTTTTGGAATTAAGTGCATGAGTTCATCTTTATCTTCTAAAAGGCAGAGAAAAGTTTCTTCGTCCATTTCCTCATCTGTATCAAAACACATAATAAAATATTTGTAACTATCTTAGCCTATAAATGTTGACATACTGCAACAAACAGCTTTAAGATTACCTTTAAATGTCTGAATCAAGTTGGTGAAGTTCCATTCAGTTAAACGTTCACAAACAAAGTCGTCCATAATGCCAACACCACAACTATGACGGATAAAAAAGTTCATCAATACCTAATAGTGAAAGGCAGGATAAAGATCAGAGACAAACATAATGGAGCTCGACACACAGACGTGTACAGAAAAGAGACTATTTTTGGGCCCTATTTCTTTGAATTGGTTGGTTTATTGTAACCTTGACCATGAATAGATGAGGAAGCCCACTTACAAAGGAAAAAACTGCTTAGACTATTAGGCTACGACCTATTCCACAGGGATGGAGAGCTGTTACCTGGTCCACTTCAAGACTGCTGACAAGATGGAGGAATTGGTGCTAAATGTTGTAGGCTAGTTAAGGAGAACATAAGAGAAACTCCTCCCTTTTTTGTCATTTCACTGTGGCCTATCAGGTCAGTGTGGCAGGCTGCATGTTTTACTCAATTGCTTTAACCCATTTATCTATTGAAAACTGACATTTGTAAAAACAGCTCACACAAAATCCTAAACACAATTTTAGTTTTCCTAAACTTTTTCATTTCATTCACTTTGAAAGAGCAACTTAGAAGTTTTAGTTCTGCTCTCAGTGACCACAGAGAATCTGGTTTAGTGCAGTGACCAGTGGGGTTCATACTTTACACATTTTGTACTGGAAATACTTTGCCTTTTTGTCTAAAACCTGTCTGTATTGTATTGTACTGTGTGTGTAAAATGTAAATGTACACATTACCAATTGCAAAGTATTGTATACATATTTTTTCTAAATAATTATGCTGAAGAAAACTGAAAGATGTTAGACTAACAAATACATTACTTTTCTTCTGTAATATGTAATACATTGAAAATCAAGCAGGACATTTCCTCGTCTCATGTGTATATCTGTGTGTCTCTACAGTCTGTGCTGTCAGCTGAGATCCTTCTCCTGCTTGACACACGTGATTTCTTTTATTGTTAGACTTTTGGTGCTCACAAATTGAATAATTTTGCCGTTATCTTTGAATTTCTATTAGGGCTGTCGCAATAACCTCAAAAATGTATCACCATGGTACTAAGAGGCCCATCGCAGTGGATGTTGGGCCACCGCGATCACCGCACGTGACCAACATAACCCAACCCAGAGTCCTGCACGGGTCCATTTTTAGAGAGCCGCACTCGCCCGGACCCATTAACATTCCACCCGTTACTGCCCGTGATAACCCAGGACTAACCCAGGAATAGACCGTCTGGTGACTACGGGCGAAAGGACCGGCACAGAGCTCCACGCCACACGGAGTTAAGTGCAGCTGTCGCCTGATCGCGATTTGCGGACACCTGCTCTGTGCGCTCGTGCTGGGGGCTCTCTCTTAAGTCGGCGGTTACCCGAGCTGGTGCAGGACTCTGACCTGACCCAGTACAGGACTCTGACCTGACCTGGTGCAGGACTCTGATCTGAGCTGCCACAGTGAGAGCTGGAGAGATGCAGCGACACTTGTTCCAAAGCCAAATGTTACTTCTCCAACACTACACACGCTATATCCACATGACACACAAGGTATGTGTGAAGAATCCCTCAGTCGTCCAGGTAGAATCCACGGCGAGGAGAAAATTCAGTTTGTCGACTGGACAAAAGTTAGTTTGGTTGAAGACGTTTCACAGCTCATCCAAGCTGCTTCTTGAGTTGTGGTCAGACGCTGGTGACACTTCCTTATATCTGCAGGAGGAGCTAACTACACTGAAACTAACACACACTTGTTTACAGTTTCTGTTTGTTAGTTCGGTCTATTGACCTGTACAGGATGTGGGGACTACACCTGTTGTTCTCTTGTTTGTTTTGATTTAGGTTTGAGGATGGAGTTGTAAATAGGAGATCGATGGTGTCTGAGTCATTTTAACTATGTAATAACAACCTTTTTAAACTAAATATTCAACAGGACATGTGCATCTGCGCAACAAGCACATCATCAGAGAGAGTTTTCAGTGTTGCTGGAAATATTATAACTTTGGGGATGGGAGGTGGGGGAGGGGGTGCGGTATCATCACATACTGTGCTGTTGAGCAGCCATACTGCACCACAGGAGAAATTCCCTAATCATGACAGCCCTAATTTCTATATTGAAAGTAACAGAGTTTGAACCAGAGTCCTTTACTATGTGAGAGCAGATCTGTTGTAATAAACAAGGTGAATTCACTGATCCTGTTTGTTTGTGATTGAGAGCTGTGCTGAGTGTTCTGAGAAAGAACCTGACAACTGTGTGAACTGATGACAAATGTTCCAAATGATCTGACCACCTTTAACCCTGTTCAGATAAGCTACATATTTTAATCAAAAGATCAAATTAAACCAAGTTTAAAATTTCAAATGTGACAAAACGACAGAAAAAAATGAAGGACTTTCTAAGTCTTGCAGGACGCACTTGAGTCTGAACCACACTGCACTTGCAGTCAGTGTATTTGAGGGGTGGGCCCAGACATTTTCAAACTCACTACGTTATAACTTCATAGACCTAGAGTTTGGAAAGAGTAGACCTACACTATCTACCTGCTTATGTTTAACATACATGTGTAAAGAATGCTCTTGGAGTAGGTTATTGAGGCGTACCAACTGAATGTAAAATACCAACAGCAAACAGTAACTCTAAACAAGTAGGTGTGTTAGTTTCAGAGTAGTTTCAGTGTAGTTAGCTCCTCCCTTCAGGCAGATATAAGGAATTATCCACCGGCGCCTGACCACAACTGAAGAAGCAGCTTGGATGAGCTGGGAAACATATTCAACCAAATAAACTTTTGTCTAATCAACAAACTGAATTTCTCCTTTTGCCATGAATCTACCTGGACGACTGAGGAATTATACACACTCTGTATCTGTACTTTTACTCTAGTAACAAAACTGAGTACTTCATCCACTGGTGGGCATCACTGCTGAGCTCCAAAAAGCACAAAAATGAGAAAATATTTGTCTGTGCACCTGCTCCAGGCCTGACTCTGCCCAGTGTTGTTATATGTGTGAAGCAGGACTGGGTCTGGTCAGGACTTGGACGAGAGACTCTGAGAACACACATGACAAACAGAGGCTCTAATGCAAACTGTTCTTGT